ATATATATATATATATATATATAGATATATATAGTGACACGTATATATAGCTTGATCTATGGAATGAGATTTTAATTTGGTGTGTTTAAAATGCAGTTACACGGTGGTGATGGATGCTCCGGTGACGGAGCATGACGGCAAGTGCAAGTGCGGCTCGAGCTGCTCTTGCACCGACTGCACCTGCTCCCACTAAACTCGATAAATAATTATTCACTAATAAAAATAAAAGGGACACTTAAATTATAAATAAGTTTGTATCTGTGTGGTTGTGTTTGTACTAAACAATCAATGGTCCTTTGTCAAGTTTGAGTGTCCCTTTTGTACCCTATTTTAATGAATCGATATCTACTCTCCTCTACTCGTCTTTTTCGCTATCTTACTTGCCTCTTTTATTTTGAAAACGAAAAATCGAGTTATTAAATCGAAAAACGAACCAAAAAGAAATAAAAGAAAAAAATATATTCATATTTCAGAAAATTCAGATGAATTAATCCACCATCATCAATCACAAGATACTAACCTTAAAAAAAATCCTAACAGGGTAATATTTATGTTGTTTCCATAACTTTATAAATTCGAAAAAAGAAAAAAAGAAAAAAAAAATCGAGATAAATTCGACTACCTCAGACGTTGAAGCCTTCTGCACGAAGGCATATCTTGTGAGCCTCGATCAATTTCTCACAAGCAGCTTCACCGTTCTCCACAATGCATTCGTCTCTCGCCTTTTTAGTCTCGGGGCAAGCACAGCATATCTTCTTCTTCGGTTTTGAATCGGGCTCCACAGAAGCTGAAGGAGTGGTGTCGTGTGCTTGTTGAGAGAATATTCCACCCATCGCCAATCAACCCCTCTAAAAGAGGATTTAATAAAGAATTAAAAAAAAATTAAAAAAAATCTCATGAAATTTATCTAACGAAAGAAAAACGAAGATTAAGTGACGTGAAGTAATTAGTAATCAACGGGATGCAGGACAATTTAACTATTTAAGTGAAGGGAGCTATTTCGAAATTAACACTGCCACTTTGGAATTCCTAAAGGTGGAACAAAGCAAAACTGAACCAATTGTACAGAACTGCTGTCGAACATAAATCGAACGAGAATAGTTTGAATAGTTCTCTGTTGCACGAGGAACTGATATACGACACGGTGGTATTCTTTTTTAGTAGATTTTTAAGTTTTATGTCATCTCTAAAGGTTCAATCTTTAGGTTTTTCGAATATTTAAAACCAACCGAAACCCGAAAACCTGAAACCTGAAACCCGAAAATGGGTAGAATAATTTCATAACAAATACTAATCATAACAAACTCTTGGGAAAAATCGAGCCTCTTACACCCTTCTCTCTATAGCATCAAAACATCCAAAATGCCATCAAATTACGAAACTTTCAATCAGATCAAATATGAATTAACTCCCATAAAAATGGCACAAACATCCATAGTAAAATAATCTACAATAAATCAACGGAAAAAACAAATCTACAAACTAAAGCCCGATACGAAGCTCTTGGATGTTTCTTATTGCCATAACAAAATTGTGATCTTGCAATTCCGATCTAGTTAAAATTGGGGTTACGATCCTTTTGACCTAAAAAAAATAATTAATCCAAATTCAAAACTAATAAAATTTGATTATATATTGTAACGCAACTTTTCATAATATTACTAATCAGATTCTAAATATAGAGACAGATTTAAAAAAAAAAAAAAAAATCATGAATCGAACTAATACAGAAAACGAATCACCGGATTTTCAATCAATTAGCAGTAGAACTGTTCGAATTCAGAACAAGTGCAAATTAAATTCCATAAAAAAATTAATTAAAAAAACCCTAAATCGCGAGCATAGAATCTTACCGTGTTTTTCTTCTTAAATTTTTGACAGAAAAAGGAGCGGAGAAATGTTTCTGACTGATCGAAGAGGGTTTTAGAAGAAGGGGTTTACATCTCTATTAAATATTTAAAATGACGCAAATACCCCCAGCTTTACTCACGTGAATGTCACGTGGTGTGAATTCAGGACACTTTTGGGCAAAAGTGGACAAATTCGACATTGGTGCAACAAAAAAATGATTGTGCGATATATTTTTTTTGTTTGGGGGGCAAAGCGCAAAAATGATACAAGTATAGGGTGCAAAGTGCACTTAACCCAAAAACAAAAATCACACATATTGAAGTGTTTATATCTAAACATTGGGAGTGGGTAGAAATATATCGTGGTGGTTCAAGAACGAATTCTCTGCATCAGTTTATGGCCCGGCCCGAAACAAATCAATGCAATAATCTTTATTTTTTGGACAAATTACGGCAAACACCCTAAAGTAAGGTAAAATTACGAAAACCTCCCTCGTGTTTGAGTAATTACAACCACCCCTTAACTATGTATTTCCGTCATGTTTGCACGTCCACCCTTACGGTGTCAAATTTATCTACTAAATGAGGGGGTTTTTCGTAAGAAAATACATAGTTTAGGGATATTTGTAATTACCTAAACATAATGGTATTTTTGTAATTTGACCTTACCTCAGGAGTAACCAAGAAAGTTTCAAATGCTTTAAGATGTTTTTCAAACCTATTTCAAATGGAATTCTAGACATTAATCTTTTTTGTGTGCGAAACGTGCAATAAAATTATACACACACACATACACTTACATATCACCCGATGTACTTCGTCAAGTGTAACATAGAATAAACTCTAATAGTCGCAAAACTCACAGTTCAAGAATCTTACTGCATTCACCCAAGTCCTCATCTAAAACTATTGTACTAAATAAGCTAAACTTTTGCAACTAAGCAAAAGGGGTAAATTTTGACTAGAGAGAGAAGGAAAATAAATTTTAAAAAACGACTAACAATTCAATAGCCGAATCGAATGATACGGCATTACACGGACAGGGAAAGGGAAAATAAAGAACGGCAAATAGCTATACAGCAACTCCAACATGTCATCAAGAACCCATACAAAACGTAAAAAAATAGAAGATAAATTTGACCAGAAAAGCATAAGTTAGATCAAGAAGCTCCAATATATATACGAGCCATAACTTTTCGAGGTGGAATGTAAAAAAAAGTTAACGACACAAGTCCATCTCAAAAACCCGCATCCACGATTGAAACGTGTATTCCAAAATGATATTTTATCTTCAAGACTACTCTTATATCACCACACGAAAGTGAAATCATAAGCAAAAATAACGAGAATGAAAAAGTGAAACATAAACGCACAAAATCGTTGCTCTTCCAAGAAATTTTATAGCAAAGGTAATTTACATGAAATTTACAAGGAGAGAACATTGTACAACAAAGACACGCAAGATTTCATCAAATTATAGCTGTATTTAGATTCTTGTCAAAACCCCATTTCACATAATCTTGAAAACAAAGAAACAATCGATGTCCGTAAACGAATTTAATCGTACTTCTCCCTCCAAGAATACACGAGAAAGAAAACCCACGAAAGCCCCAAGACAATGTCACCCAAAACCAATCTCACCCAATCATGGCCAAGAACTTCGATCTTCCTCTCGAAGTAAATTCTCCAAATTGCCATTGCAACGTGGAGAAGCACACACCCTCTAGCAAAGAAGTTGTGGAACTCCCTATCCTTCACAAATGCAACCATCAACAAAAGAAACCCAACCGCGAACAAAAGCAAACCCGAAAACGAATCGGATGTTCGGATCAAGAGCTGGTCGTGGGGCGTGGAGCCGGATAGCTTACTAGCGTGGTCCCTACCATGGCTAAACACAAACATCTCATCTCTATAGAACATCATTAGTGCTCCACAAGTTAGCGCAACCGAAGAATGGAGCACACACATAACGAAAAAACCCGGAGAAGCCATTGATATTCCGATATATAGCTTTTTACCTCGTCTTACGACTCAAATCAAGATTCGATTTTTACAACTGAAATAGCACAACCCTTAGGGCTATTGGCCAAAAACCCAGATGAGTTCTTCTTCTTCTTTTTTTCTTTTCGAGATACTTGTCTTAAAAACTCAAATCAAGATTCGATTTTTATGACTGAAATAGCACAACCCTCATAAAACCTAGGGCAATTGGCCAAGAACCCAGATGAGTTCTTCTCTTCTTTTTTTCTTTTCGAGGTACTTATCTTAAAAACTCAAATCAAGATTCGATTTTTATGACCGAAATAGCACAACCCTCATAAACCCTAGGGCTATTGGCCAAAAACCAAGATGAGTTTTTCTTCTTTTTGAGGTACTTGTCTTGAAAAATCAAATCAAGATTCGATTTTTATGACAAGAAAACACAACCCTGATAAAACCCTAGGACTGCTGGCAAAAAACCCAGATGGGTTTCTTGATCGGTGTGTAATTCTAATTTCTAACACCACCATATCTTATTCCACCATGCCTTTGCTCAGAAGAAACAGAGGAAACCCATTATTGTTGCTACTTGCCAAAAAAAGAAGAAAAAAAAAGATTCCCCACTCAATAATTGAACCAAACTTATCAAAATTCAAAACCAAGAGAATCACTATTGAACGGAAGATTTCAGTTTAAGGGTTTTACTTTCTAGAGAGAGAGAGAGAACAAAGAAAATGGATCCAAGAAAAGTTGGTGGGAGGTTCAAAAACCCTGATGCCTATTGGGGGTGAAAATGGAAAATAATTAATTAATTACCTTAAGAAATCAAGAAGTTTGTGTAAGAACTTGTGGTGATTTTGCTGGTAATGAGCTGGTGGTGGGAATGGCTGTTTTTACAGCTAATGAGCTTACTATTCTTATTGAACAGATAATTTGTGTACCCAAATAGAAGACAAAGATCCTAAATTAATTGGATTTTAATGTTTAATTAATATATATATATATATATACAATTCAAGAAACTATCATGTTGACATATTATTGTTAGTGGGGCCAGCTCTTTTCTTGTATTTGTATTATTGTATGTATATAAATATCGGTGTAAATTAGAGGATCGTGTCGAGTCGAATGTATGGTTATTTATTTATTTTTTACTTTTTTAAATGTTTTATTACTTTTAAAGTTGTGTTAACGAATGGTTTAATTTGACTGCTACTGTAAAAAGTTTTAATTGTTATATTAATAAATTACTTGACTGAAAAATAAATAAACTTCGCTTTATTTTTCAAAAATACATTTTCTGGACTCGTAGAAAAAATGATTTGACTCATACAATGTATTTGGCTTCTTTTTAAAATAGGAACAAAAATTACTTTCATTCTCAAATTCTTCTCTTGGAACATACTTGACGAAAATGAAATGAAAATAAACCAAGAAACGCTTCCAAACAAGCATTTATTTCTAACTGACATCGAACTCAAGCAATTTGTAAAATTCTCGAAATGAAAATATGTGTTCGAATTTGATTCGTATTTAGAAAGTAAAAAAAATATATATCAAACTCAAACGAGTTTTTACGTAACAATCTTGAATTGAGTAATTGGATTTTTAGTTTCAAATCCTATATATAAAATTATATATTATACATGGAGAAATATCTTATATATGGATGTGGATCTTGAGATATTTCATTTAAAACAAATTAATAATAATAAAAAAATTGAATAAAATTGGACATGGGCCATGAGGTAATGGGTGCACAATAATGCATCATATTTGTTAATATTTATGAATCACTATTTTGGATGTGTATGGCTGCTTCTCTCACATGTTGCACACCACTAGTGGTCTTATTTAAATCATGACATGTCTAAATCATCGTATTTTATATTACCATTCTTTTTCTCGATCAATTAATTACGACGTATCTGAAATTTAAAATGTAATTCATTCATATTTTATATTACTAGTCTTTTTCTCGATCAATTAATTACAAGATATCTGAAATTTCAAATGTAATTCATTCATACATAAATATATCATTTGAACTCAATATATTGTTTAGAAAGCTAATTTAAAGGATTACAATTTTCGTGTTTTGAATTTCACCAAAATCAGACTAGAAAATGGTCAAAAACTCGCTAAAAGTCAAAACTGTATTATTAAAATCGAAACAAGTTTAACATTTGAGTTCCATTAGCGATAAGAACACAATTCTTTTCGAATTAACTAAAAGTCATTCCCCGCCATTTTTATAAAAATACCCACATACTACAAATTTCACCTATAATTCGACATAGGTAACCGAACAAGTTAGAAGAAAATCGGTATCTCGAAGTGAAAATGAACATTAGCATAAATAAAATTAAAATGTGAATCTAAATTATTGGGACTTACAACATTATCAAGAATTCACAAGTTTTACAATGTGGGACAAAATAACTCAACCAAATTCTTCTCTTATCGCCGTGCTAATAATAAGTATTAATGAGAAACCTCAATAACTCTATAATTAAAAAAAAAATTAAAGAAAATAAAATAAAATAAAAATAAAAAACAATTGTCCTATTTCTGCAGAATAACACAAAGAACACTATACAATTCATTTTCCTTTTTCCCCCACAAAAATAAAGTGCCAAAAAAATCAAATAAACGAATTTTCCCGATTCTTGGGATTAACTCTTCGACGCCTCCTCGAACCGGGTCTCTTGTCTTTCCCACGCCGAACAATAATCTTTTTCGGAGGAATTTTTTCGTGATATGCAATAACAGCTGGCGGAGCTTGTGCTCTTCTTACATGTTCCAAGTGTGCTCTTTGCTCCAACAAATCTCTATGATATGCCTGTTAAATAAAAACAATATATTCCGATTCTCAAATAAATAAATAACATAAAAATTGCACAAACAATCGAACAAAATCATAATTACCTCAAGCGATACAATACGATAAACCCGATTTTCCCATAAATAAAAAAATTATTTTTCATTATTTTACCTGTATTACGAAATTGCGCCTTTCGCAATCAAGAAACATATTAACGCTCCAATCAACTTGTGCCAACACTTTATCCCTCACAGTCGAGAAACTCAATTGATCCCTCGAAGTAAATCTATCGACTTCGTTGAACCATAAACAGCTAAAAAGATTCGTAATCGGAATATGCTCTCTTATTATTACACACCCTTCTGGAACATCTGCACAAACATCAATTCTTTCAGACCAAATTTGAGAAAAAAAGAAAAAGAAACTGCAGATAAATGCAAATAATTATCGACGTACCACTAGTTATAGGTAGCTTAGCAGAAGTGTACGGTGTTAAACCCTCCTCTTTATAAAATTCAATCTGATAGTCGATAGAAATATTATCGTATTTCCCTCCAGCTTTATTCGCCTCGGCTTCTTCGAATACGTCAAAACGTCTATAATGTCTCGATATTGCTAGGGTAGCATTTTGGCGCCACAAGAACCTGATATTAAATATGAGCAGCGACCAAAATAAATTTTTCACATTGAGAAAGACTTAATAACATTAAAAAAAAGAAGATAAAAAAAAATGATACCTCTCGAGAATTTGGTAAGGGTCCACAACGAGCTGAAGCTTTCCATCAATCCAAATAGAGTATCGGGTGTTTGGGAATAGCCTATGCAACAATAGCTTCGGCACCTGCCATAACAAAGTATTAAAGAAAATTGTAACTGAAAATAAAAAATACTACGAACTGGAATTGGAATTGTATTATTAGACCATATTTAAAAAATTAGGGGCTCGTGGATAAGACGCCAGCGAACAGCTTAACATTGTGTGGGATTGAATATAAACGTACTAGGATTTTACGATTTCCTAATGAATCCTATTCCAAACAAAAATCCTTCAAGATTAAGAGTAAAATTCTTAAAAACTATTTTACTAGAATTGTAATAATTTTACTATTTTTTACGATCGGATTTTACTAATTGGGCCAAACCAATTTTTTTTCATCACTCCAGTGGACACATTTTTGTTTCACCGACATTTTCTACCGTTCAACTAACAATACCAGTTGTGAAATTTAAGGAAGAAGACTAAACACTAGCGACAAAATAACAAACAAGATGACAAGAGCGGTGATAATGAGAGTATACGAGTAATGATAGGTTGTATCCAAAGGTCAACCTGACGACTTAAATCTAATTTATTAGGTTTTTAAATGGAATTTTTTATTTTTATTGAGATATGTTTTATTCATTTTTTTTAGTTAGGTCATGTTTTATTCATGTTTGCACCTTGCAACACACTTCTTTTATGTTTGAAGATATAACATGTGGCATGCTATTCAATTCTACAACACACGTAAAATCCTCCGATTTTACAGATTACGATTTTACAGCCCCCTTTTCGATTTTACTTAAAATCTTGATTATAACATTGTTTTCCGAACTATGGTGCAAACGTAAGGGAAAACAAAAATAACCACAAAGAAGCAAAACAGACCTTTCCATTTCTTCTTGAATCGGTGTAAGGAACGTTGTGCACCACTATAATCCTCCATAATCCAACCTGCTTATCACTGCCCAAAAGACTCATATTCTTCATATAATTTTCAGTCTCTTCATCGACAAACATGAAAAACGGAACTTTCCTTCTAGACGTTTCACCAACATTTTCCGGCTGCTGAATTAAATCATAATTTCCTGCATCGATATTTTACTCATATTATATTTACGCTCAAATGCCCAAAAATTAATTATTGAAATTCAAATATAGTTTATGTTTGTATTTACCAAAAATAGCAGAGGCAACAATGACCTCGTGAAACTGCTTCAACACCTCAAGATCAGCCACATCAATGTCGAATCCAGTTCGATAACCGGGCCTACATCCTTTGACAAATCTGACAAAAAAGGGTACATCTTAAATAAATCTTTAAACTCAAGCAAAAAAAGAAATATAATGCTGAGAGAAAAAAAAAAAGTTATTAACATACCCACAGTGAACAGTCATTGATTCTTGAATATCAAACGAATCATTCCTCAGTTTCAGATTAGGATAACCACCAAAATCAGATCCTCCGATTGGATCGGTTTTCATCGGATTTTCCTCGGAGAAATAAGTTAGACGTTTAAGAATAGGAGAGTGTGAGGGAAATTTAGGCATACTAGCAACTGCCTCCTCAACCGGAACATAGCAAACTGGACATGCTGAGAAAAGCAACCAAAAAATAAAAATTAAGTTAGATTAAATTTTCTTAACAAAGTAATATGCGAAGAAATTATACAATGAGGAAAAAAGAACTTACGTCGGGGGCCAATTCGCCTCATATCACCTGGAGGAGGGGGCGGAAAAGCAAAATCTTTGCATGGATTGGTCAACACAGTGACTGCGCTAACAGAGTCACCCATAGAAGAGGCGTTCGACAAATCACCATAACCGGTAATGTCATTACATACTAGAAGTTTGTCGATCTTGGAATTATTATTAGATTGTAATGCCTCTTTTTCAGCCAGAGAAGGTATAATGTATGACTTGTTCAGGTATCTCGAATCAAACGGCAAACCAGCACTATCCAAATAATCCTCTGAAAAAAAGAACTCCATTACTAATAATATATATATATAAACATATATATATAAACATATCAACCTACAGAAAACTGAATTAGACATAAACGCGCCATATACTGGCTAATGCAATGCAAAGAACAACTTTCCGCTCCCTTTTTTTCAATTATTAACATTAGTTAATTTGTGAATAATACTCGATCATCATAGCATTGGAAAGATATTCAAGACAAGATAAACAAATCAAAGAACTCGGATAAAAATAACTGAATCAGACATAAGTGCACCATATATATTAACATCTAAGTCTAACAGAAATAAGTTTAATCTGATACTAGCAAAAATCTACAACGATGATTCCGATCATTGTAGCATTGGAAAGTTATTTAAAACAAGAAAACGAGAGAGGAAAAAAAATCCACAACATATATGTGTATAATATATATATATATTACAGAGATGATAAACTCCACTACTCAAGGAAATATAACTAAATTAGACATAAACCCACCATGTATAAGTTATAACATCAATTAAATTCAATTATTAACGATTAACAAATAGTTCGATTCATCATAGCATTGGAAAGTTATTCAAGACAGAAAGAAAACGAGAAAGAAGACCAAAAGGTCGAACCTTTGTTGACTGTGAAGAAGCCCGTGAGGAAAGCCAAGAGAGCAAACACAGCCAAAATCAGCATTCCGACTTTCTTTCTGCTCAAGTATCTAAAAGTGGAGGAGAAAAATCTTTCCTTCTCTCTAGAAACAATAAGGGAAGTCTTCGAGGACCTACGAGGTAAATAAGGATTCGAAGACCCTCCTCCATTCTGTGCCAGTTGCTGCAAAGATCCGAAACTACCCGAAAGTCTTAAACCCAATGACCGCTCAGTCATTGTACCTCCAAACCCTCAAAAGTCAATTTCATCTCTTCTTTTCTCTCTCTCAAATTAATCCTTCATCCATCGAAGAATTTTTTGTGCGTGTTAATCGGTACGGTAAATCAAGAACGACAGTCCCAGATGATCAATAACCGAGAGCAGAACCCCGCTAGATTACAATAAAAAAGAACATGAAATCAGCATTTCGAATTCCGTAAATCCACATTTCGAGCAACAATAACCAGATTGATGTTTCGTCGATTTAATTAAATTAAATTAAATAATTCACAAGAAAAAGCTGATTGAGATTCCACTACCACGAACAACTCTGGATCCCACCACAGATCAACATCAAAACATTCCGAATTCGGTAAATCTATCACACACACACATACACACACAGACAAATACAATAAAACAAAGTCAACCGCTCTTACTTCTCACTGGAAAAAACAATCAGTTTGCACGCATTATCCATAAAATAAAAGAAGACGAACAATCAATTAATCAACAAGAACGAAAATCACGAAACAAAAAAACCAAAACGACGTCGTACTCACTTTTATCCAATCCCCAATTCAGTGATTCACACACTCCCAATAACAGAAAATCGCAATTAAAAAAAAAAAACCCCAGAAATCAGATGCAAGAACTCAAGCAGTTGGTTACAATTATAAAATCATCCAATACAGAAATCCGAGAGTTGGGAATTTAAATCTGGACCCACGTACATAAATGCCCACGACGCAAAAAAATTATTACAAATAAAAATGAATTAAAAAAGATATTTATTGCGATTTGGGTTTTTAGCAGCTTGCTTACCTTGGATTTGGATTTTTAATAACTAATTTATTCTTCGGCTCTACAGATTAACGATTTGAAAAAACTGTGTTCTTCTTCTCTCTTCAGTTTCTTCTTTGCAGTGACATCTCGCATTGATTTGGGGGTTAATTTTTTATTTTATTTTTTTAATTTCTTTTTTAATTATTCTAATTGTAATTTAGATTTTATCGTGTAGCCAAACACGCCCGCCATTTTGGTGTGTGATTTAATTTCTTGCTGAATTCGAGAAATATTCTCTAATAATTAGTGGGCACAAAGAATTTTGGTATGTTTTCTTATTTTTGTCATATGTATTAATAAAATTAATAATTAAATATATATTTAAATTAGAAAATATTATTTTTTTTTATATTTCAAATTTTTCCTGTATATGAAGAAAATTAATAAATATGCGTGAATTTTTAATGAAAAACATATAACATGGCTTGAAAAAGCTCGCTCGAATGATTAACTATAATAAGAGTAAAACTGAAAAAATAATAATTAAATTACTCGATCTTTGGAATTGTAAAACGATACATAATACTTTTATAAATTAATGCACTTGTGACTATTGAAATTCTATTAATTTAACGAAATAATAAATTATCGAGTTAATAATTTAATACGTTCTCGTCGAATCATGATTGGGAGATATTAATATTTAAACGAGGTTATTAATTTATCGAGTTTGTATTGTATTGTAATAAGACCAGATTTGTCTTCCTACTTGTGATAAATAATGTTTAATATATTGTAGAAGTAATAAGGGCAAATATGGAAATGGAAAAATAACTAATGCAATTTTAATATTCTAAAGTGTGTGTTTTTTATTTTTTTATTCTTTGAAAATATTATTTATTTGAATGAATATGTCAAGCAGCAACAACCAAACCAACTAAATTTATGATATTTATTTGAACATAATATTTAATATTACTTTCGGGAAAAATAAATACTAGGCAGAGAATTTTGATTAGGATATGCTTTCTTTCTTTTATTATTTACTAGCATTTTTTTCCCGTGCGATGCACGGGATATTATTTCTAATGTGGAAAATAATCAATTTAATACATAATAAGAAAATATCATACACTAAATTTAACATAGTAAAATTTAATAATGCAGTATTATTCATATTTTATATAACATTGATTTTTTTAAATCTGGCATATGAAGATTTATAATCCAAATATATAGATTAAGATTTAAAAAATCGTATTTCTATCTTTATCTCTTAAGATTTGAAATATATTGATGAAAAATCGGAGATTGACAATTGTTAAAAATTATAATTTGAAAAAAAAATATTAAAAATAAATAATTACATAAATACCATTAGGGTTTTTAGGGTTGCCCAGCGTTTCTTTCTTTTATATATAAGATATAAGATTATTGACATTACGTATCAAATGGTTCTATTATTATTATTATTATTACTAGCATTTTTCCCCGTGCAATGCACGGGATGACATTTCAAAAATAAAAACAATGATTAGTTTAATACATGACAACAATAATTATAATGAAAACTTAATTGTTAATATTAAATTAATCATTAAGTCAATAAATTAAAGAAAATTAGAGAAAATATGCTGAAAATATGAGATAATAATAACAATTAAAAAAAATATAGAAAAAATTGACTGTAAAATAGAAAATATAATATATATACATGTATATATATTAATTTATTTTTTACAAATATGTCATTAGGGTTTCTTGGGTTGTCCAGCGTTGTTATCTTTTATATATAAAAATGATGATTATTATTATAAATAATTATTATTATTATTTTCCCCAATATATATAGGAATCTTAGGAAGCATGGGTGAGAATTGATGGGAAATGAGATTAAAACTTTAGGCCCAACGGGCCTAATATTCTACTCTCTCCACATCGTCCTCAAATAAAAAAGCCCACCTAAATTATATATATATATATATATGGTAAATTACACCTATTATCCCTAAGGTATGTTTAAATAACATTAAGGTCCCTGTGGTATTGATACTTACAACCACACCCCTAAAACAATTACCGGAGCAAATTCATGACTTGGGGACTGATTTCTTTCGTGTGGGGCCGTTAATGCTGCCATAGAAGAAAATTTATAAATCTTATAAAAAATAATAAGAATTTAAGAAACATTAGGAAAGAGTCATGTCGCCCATTTTCTCTATGTTGTCTCCACCATCACTGCATGAATTAATAGTCCGTTAGAACCCTAGAAGAATAATTTATCGAGTGCATTATTCCTACATTTGTAATTATCGATACTACGTAGATCTTAAAATTATTTTAACACACCACAAGGGTGTAAGTGTAATTTACCCTATTATATTATATATGTATGGTACAATTAATTGGAGTTTGGGCCAATACCACAATAGATGTTGCGATAAAATCAAACTATAGTATAGTTAGGGCCATGTCCCTCTTTTAAGTGACATTAATCACTATACTAGTATTTAATATTTTATAGTTGGAATCATGTGTGTGTGATCTTCTCATTGTCTTTAAAAAATTATGTTAATGTGATCCTCGTTGTTAGTTGTCAGACATTTGAACTTTACGCTGTTTGATCTAAGCTTTGAAATTACAAAAACGCCTCATCTTCTAGTTTAAATAATTATTAAAAAATAAAGAAAAAATAAAATAATAAAAATTCAAGAGAAAACATTGTCCACGACGGCAGCCACAATTATTTTTAATTTTAAAAACTTTTTTAATAATTATTTAAACTAGGAGGGGTGTTTTTTTTTTTTTTTGTAATTTTCAAACTTAGATCAAACGGTGTTAATGTCAAAGGTCTAAAACTGACGACGAGGGTCACATTGAGACAATTTTTCAAGGACACATGAGCAAATCGATGCAATCTTGAGTAGAAGGGGGCAAAGTGATATCAAGCCAAAGTACAGGGGGAAATTGGAATTTACCATTGATATTTATAGTTTGGGGTTTTTCAGATAATGTTTTGGGACTTTTTGGTAATTTCTTTTTTCTTTTTGTATATATATTAGGGCTAATATACTTTTAACCCCTGAAGCCTGCGTACCACCACTTACCCCTTAAATATCATTTGTAACATTTACTTCACTCAACATCAAATATTTTATATTTTAAAATTAAAACATAATAAACATAACAACCTAATAATTATTGGATCAAAAAAGTTGAAAAGTAACTAAAATTAAATTATTAGGAAAAAAATAAAAAGTAATATATATTGCATAATAATAATGAACGAAAATATATTTTAAGAAATTAATGAAGTAAAATAAATTTAAATACTTAAGATTACTATTATTTATATATTGATTTCTTAAAATTCATCGATATGAATATATTGGATTAATTGTTCCAATAACAATTAGATATTTTTTTTGTTAAATATGTACCCAATAGTACAAGATAATATTTTTAAGTTCTAAAATATTGCATTTTTCAACCTATATTGTTGTATAATTTAATTATTCTTTTAGTTATTATTTTAGTTAAAAAATAAAAATTTTATGGTATAAGATTTTAAAATACAAATTGAATTAAGTTTGAGGGATAAGTGTTATATATAATATACATCTATGATCTAACCCTATATTTTAATTTGGGATATATTTTAGGACAAATTAATGTAATAATGTGAAGTGGGGACCAGACATGTAGACAACTGAACCTGAGTTAGTGGACCCACTGATTCATTTCTTTGTCCAGATATAGAGATATAA